TTTTTCCTTCTAAACTAATCTAAACGAAAAGAAGCAAAAATGAGAAAAAAGAAACAAAAGAGAACCGTAATAACTGTTCGAGACGATCTCCACGAACGTACAGATCGTCATCGGCTCGCATAAACCAGTCGAAATCGTTCAACTAAAATTAATATTTGGTTTCAAATACCACCTTTACAAGTTTTATTTACTGTTCTTTTTTCCTTTTGTTTCTTCTCATACTTTTTATGCATATAAAATATCTAAATTTTCCCGTCTTCCTTTTTTCTTTTTCAATTAAAATTTTATGTATTTTTATTGCCCAAAAATACGCTGCTTGAAACAACAATTAAATTAATAAATTTCTTTCTTTTGTCCATCATTGATTACCCGTTAGCAAATGTTAATGCCAATTATAGAATGCTATTTGTGAGGAGACTGTTGATGTTTACGAAATAAACTGAAGAATGACAAAAAGTGAAGGTAATATGGTTGAAAAACGATTTTACGTGATTATCGGCCATCCATTTCAACATTGCAAACGACTTCTTTTGCGGTGGATATGCATCATCAACACCCCTTAGCCGAATTATCGGTAATTCCGGATGTTCAGTTTCCGTGTTTTCAGCAACAAAAAAAAACACCTGTAACAATACCGACGGTAAAAAGGCTATTGTTTATTTTATTTCGTTTCTTTTTTCTTCTTCTGCTTTCTACTTTTTGTTTTCAACTTTTCAACTATTTTTGTATATTTTTGAAAAATTCAAAAGCATTTTTGGCTGTAGTTGCTTATGAAGTGATAGTATTGATAACGAAAATAGTAATCTGAAAGATATAACCTTTCCAGGTATATGCTGTGCCCATGTTCGCCAAACATTATAGGCTCGACTATCAACGTATTTGGCCGCTGTCATAACTCCAACAAGTAACAGATGTGGTTCATTATCCTGAACAGCTTATTTTTAATCTTTCTTCTCACTTTTTTTCACTGCTAACCAAAGATCATTTCAAATAACTGTTTTTTAGAAAAAAAAAGGGTTTTTTTTAAACAAAAAAATTGAAATAGAATAAAAGCAATAAAAGCATAACAAAGTGGTTTGCGGAACATAAATGATTGAGTGTTGAAAATAAATACGGAAACGAAAACATGAAACAAACAAATGCTGGTGTAAGTTTATGTCCAGTTTCATGACAAATTATTTTTAGAATAATTTTCTGCTAAAAAACATCTATCAAAATAGACTTTTTTCTTTTAAAGAGAAAAAAATAACTTTTCTACATTCCCTTCCCCATTTCTCAACTTCCCATTCCCGTTTCTTCGTCTCAACAAGGAAAGAAAAGAGAAACGTATAGTTTCAAATGAAAAGTAAGAAAAGCGAAAATACAAAAAAAAAAAAA